CAAGGCATGTTGTACTGAACCTTTTTCCTCTTACTTAGTAATTCAATGCATTTTATCCAGTTCAAAGAAATTTTTCTTGTATATTTGTGTATTTATACATGCATAGGCACAAGGTATGCAATACAATTATGTCGTACAGGTCACAAGGTTGGCTCACTCACACGAGCAACCGCCTCGCTATGTTCTCATGGGATATAGAAGGTTTGACAGCAGATGATCACCATGAGATGGTAGAGAAGAATCACTGCACAAATGTCACCTCAGCTAGACTGAGATGAGACCCATAAAAGTTTGGGCCGAATCATGGATAATGTGTCATCCATGAGACCTGTAGCCAGACAAGGAACTCTTTACTAGTGAGACGTCATATATAGTTGTGATGAAAGAGCTCCTGGTTCAAATGTTGGAGTGCATTTGGAACTTAAGTCTGTATGGTGCTATTAAAACCAAAAGCGACATACTCCACTTGGTGGATTGAGCACCGTAACATGCAATTCATACTGCATGAGCTCACTCAAATCCGCAATAAGGGACGTAGATGGAAGATCCCTGATCCATTACGGTGTGAGTCCCAGAAAGGAAATAAACCTTTCATAATGCCCTTAAGACTTAGACAACATCACAAGGTTTTGGTTTAGTGGCAGCTACTCTAGCCTAAACCCCATGGTCAAGAATGATGCGATCTAACGGGTCAAGACTGAGAAAGCGACTATGCCAAATCTAAATGATGAATAGTCAGAAGGAAGATTTATCCTGAAATACACATCTACGTTGGTGTCTGTGACATGTCCCTTGCAGGTTGAACAGAACAACTAAGCAAGTGTGGATACCATACGTATAAAAAGGCAATCTGAGTAAACAAAATAACTCGAGAGGGATTAGATATGCCACAAGTAAAGTGTATGGATAAAACTAGGGCATTCGAGGCAACAAGCATACAATTTGCAGGTACACCAAGGGTGTTCTTGTGTGCTGGTCCTGCATAAAGGATTCCTAGTGCACAGACGCCCGAATCGATGACGTCATGCCCACGCGGTCACGGCAGACACCTAGTATGAAGCAATGAAAGATTTAGCTATCACACGATGGGCAGCCCATCAAGTGCGAGTGGGAGATGTTAGATTTTTGGGCTTGGATCCGCCCTTGATGGGCCGGATTATTTGACCGGGTATAAAGAGAATATATCAGTCAAATATCCAAGCGATATTGTGATATGTTTGACTTGGTCAAACACCCTGAATCATATCCAATCGGTTACGATATAAATCTAATTAATTTATATTAAATTAATTAATTTATATTGTGTAGATTAAATATATATTAAGTATATATATTTAGAATTAATTGTGATTGATTCTGGATTTAAATTCAAATATCATGATATTATGAGATAAGAATATATTATATCTTATCTCGGATTTTATCTGATGGGCTCAGTGGATATTTTTATGCTACCCAAAATATCCCTGACAAAAGCTATAAATAGAGGCTTCCCCCATCAGTTCAAATCACTCCAGTAGTAGAGCTTTCCTACTATCTCTCTCTCTCTCTCTCTTATTTTCTTTCTTGCAAAAGAGGTGCTCTGCTGTGCACTTAAAAGCTCAGACTTTTATAGTCTAGCTTAAGCGTGAGCTAAGAAGATCCGACCGACCCGACCCGAGATCCGACCCGGTATGTTTTCGATCCATTCTGAAATTATTATTACACTTTTATCTCAAGGAATCACAACAAGGTATGTTTCATACTCCATGATCGCTTGTGCGTAGGTAATAAAGTAAGAGTAGGCATTGAGTTCAAGGGGAAAAGGAATGGCTATGGGGTTGTCGTTTATGTCCCGACTAAAATGGAAGCATCTGGTGCGAGTTTCACACGATGAAAAGAAGAACCAAAAAAGTACAATTGGAAGTATCAAGACAAATCCGGACACGAGTAGATATGTTAAAGTTATATAAAAGAGCATATGGAGCATGGAAATTCATTTCAGTACACGGCGTGAGGCCAAGAAATCACCTCTTGCTTATGTTATTCTCTTACCATGGAACCCTTTAGGCTCTGATCTGAGTATTAGTGTTCCATACTATGCCTATGGTGAATCCCTTCGTGAACGGTTACCAGTTGGTATATCTCAGTTTGATTTTATATCAGGAATGCCTCAGCATGATGTTTTAAAAGATGCAAACGTTGTTCCTTCCGGGACATTCGATAAAATTCGAAAGCAGATCAGTGATCAGTCCAAAGAAGAGAAGCAAGGCAATAATGATGATGTGGCTTCTGTTCTTGCATCAACGAAAAACAATAACGCTATTATGAACATAGGAGCTCAAGGTATGTTGAATGGCTGCAATATCATTCTCAATGTATTTACTATATAGGAGGTGATGGAGGAGTGAAGCAGTCCATGGATGTTAATACCACTTTGGTTCTTCATTTCAGTCTATGTCTTTCAATATCCTGTGTCCCTTATTTTAGAGTTGTTTTTAAGTAAGTTTTAGTCTTACCGTACGCTGTTATGGTTAGTCTAGAAACTGTGTGAACTAGACACATTAAGATTATCTTAGAGCAATCGGAATGGATCTTATTGTGTACTCTAAATAATATACATGAAACGTCTCATGCATCCATATGTGATCGGTCTGTATGGAATTTGATCCTTGGAAATGAAGTTCTTATTAGGTGTTTGATAAATATAATAGGATAAATGTGTGATTTTATCCTTGATCTTATTTTTTAGATGCACCAAGCACTCTAAATTTTAATTGTGTAATTTTGCCCATTATTTATTTTTTATGCAATTTTACCTGTCATCTTTTTATTTTGAACCAGAGGGGCTACTTCAGTTAAGCCTCAAATATGGTTTCAATCATCACTTCCTTATCTTCCGCGGTCTTCAGGAATTTTTCCTAAAATTCTGGACTTAATTTCTAAAATTATCTTTTCTCACACGTAGTCTTTTGAAAATTATGCGTTTGCCCTAATTTGAGACACAAGCAATATGATTTATTGATGTTTCATTGGTGTACCTACTATTAGAATATTTTTATCAATCAAACGGGATTTCAATTAATTATTGAACAGAATCAAATCATTCTCAAAAGTTATTCTCATGCATATATGCTAGTTTATCTCATCAATATATATTTTCGAAAGTTGTATATATAAATCAAAGTTGCCTCCCCCAGTCACTCACCTTCATACACCTCATTCAACACCCACCAAGAAACAATCCTTGTCGGGAAGTGGCATCGGGCGATCTTGTAACATCTTTAAAACGGCCCTTGTGCACGCATCGGTGAGAATATTATAGAGAAAAATGATGCAGGGACTACTTGAAAATCAAAAACATATATAGGGACTGCATTATAAAGAATTCACATTTTTGTACATTAACCTTATTTATGTCAATTGCATGGAAATTCAAAGCTGAGCTTTGGTGCGTGATATGGAGCAATATATATCTTTGTATAGTACGAAATGTAGGCCTAGAATAAATGAAATACTTAATTTATGAGTTAGTATAGAATAACTTGTGGCTAATAGGCCATGCTAAGTGCAAAAATTTTAAGTGAACGTAAATATGCTAGGTGTCAATCCATGAATCATTAGGTTAAATTTGGTATCGATTTGAGATGTTTCAGATTTCTATTTAATATATTTCATTCAGGTTTGTATTTTTTTTTGTCATTTTCCCTCTTTTGTTTTTATAAGTTTTTAGGTTTTGTTTTCCACCATCCAATATGCTCGGTCGATAAGCTTTTTTGTCAACAAAAAGTCGAAATTTTGTGATTTTTTATGGTAATCCTTTTTTTGTTTTCCAACTCATACGTGGATTGTATTATATTTTATTCAAACAGTTTATTTAATAGCTGTGCGGGGAGCCGTTTCCTTACTAATTGGATCAGCTTGGCTCTATTTTGGATTCCGTGCCATTTCACCTTTTAACTTCTTTGAATCTTATTTAAATATCAACTACTATATTACTTGGAAAAATTATTTTGCAAATACCTATAATTTTTCTCAATTTTTAATTTGATATTTTTGTATTTTTTTCTCTTAATTACTCTAATTTTGCTGTGTTAGCACTGTTAGCTTCTATAGCTTTACTCAATTGGTACTGTTAGCCCTTGTGTAAAAGCTAATTACACTAACAGAACAAAATTATAGTGTTTATTTAGGAGACAAAAATATACAGGTGCCAAGTAAAAAATCAAATAAAATTATAGGTACTCAGGTACCTGATAATTGTCATTTTAGAATTGGACATAGATTATATCTTAAATTTAATAAGTAGCCTAAATTTTAACAAAGTATAGTGTTAGTTGATTGTCATACCCTTATTTATGAGAATGTCTTAAGATAAACATTTCTTGGTTGTTTACTGAAAAGTAAAATCGTAAAAAAAAAAAAATTAATACTTTCTTGTAATTTGTAAAGTGACAATAACTTTAAAACAAAACATAACATCTAAAATGACAATTATTTGGGAATGGAGGATGTATCGTTTTAATTTTCCAATTTAACTTTGTATTTATAATATTGGATATTTTTTAATTTTGCACTAGCTAGTTGAACGTAGGTAGACTAAACCCGACTGTTTAACTGAACGTAGTTAAGAGGTTATTTCCGTACTCCTTTGATTTGGCACTTTTTTTCAGATATAATAAAATTAATAGCTCACATGCACACGAACGTGTCAATTCTGGGCTTAAATCCAGAACTTCATCCAAACATGATAAGAGGCGTTAGTGTTGAGATAACTAGTTGTTGACATTTGATTTAGTACTTAGATGCTCACACCAAGAACTGTTCAAATTAAATTGGGATTGTTTAGACGGCACTTTACTTCCTTAAAAAATGTTTATATTTATTTCATTTCAGGATAACTAGAAACTAAAACTAGATTAAACATCCATCAACTAGATAAATATTAAAATTTTAAAAATATAAACTAATATCTAGATAACTGTATACTATAACTTACATGGAACAACAATTATTTATTTATTTGATTGAAAGATAAGTCCCCAATACAAGAAAAGAAAGCCATATACAACTTAAATCCCAAGTTTATTCATTTCACATTATACACACTTTGAGCAGGAATTATAAGCCAATAATTCTCACATATAAAATGCATCTTAATTTAATCTTTGCCCATATATAGTTTACAAGACCTTCTTGAACACAACAGAAAGTGGAGTCTCATTAGCTACAATTACGAGATGTCTATTTCCAGTTTCATCGTAGTAAAGCCCAAGATCTCCACAAGGATCACCAGAAGGACAGAACTTAATCTTATAGAAAAGGCTCTGATATTTAATAATCTTGAACTTACCGTCCACCGTATTGGCATAACCACTAATTTTCACAGACTTTCCCGCGGGATCTTCCTCGATGATCGTCCACTTCGACGGCGTGGTTGCGCAGGTTGGAACGGCGGTGAATGCCATGTTCAGAAGAAGACCCTCGGCGATGTAAGCGAGTCTTGCCGGAGATGAAATCATCACGGCCAAGCCATCGGTAGTCTCAGAAGGTATCTGCACCACCGTCAATGGGCAGGTTTCGTTCCCTGTCGCTGCTAGTCCAAGACCACCACCTGAAACCAAAGGGCTTAATCACTGTTCTTACGATTCTATCACAGATGGATTATATAATTCTAATTGGTTGGATGATAGGAACCGTGAATAGCTGATCTTTTCGATTCGAGTCTGACTTTTAAAATATCGCTTTTAATTATACATATGGTCTTAAGATTATTTGCCCACGTGTGTGTGTATATATATATGTACTACCTACTGTCCTTAATGTAAGATCTAGTTAGTTAATTCGGAAAGATTAAAGAAATTAATTAAGTTAGTTATTTGTAATAACTAGATGTTGTCTTTTATCCCTTGCTAATAATGTGTATTAGATAAAGCTAGCATTTCATGGATTCTTTAACATATGTAACTACTATAAGAGCTACTTTGAAAAAAATAGATAAACATGAGAAACAAAGTAGATTGGAGGCTTATATTTATGACCAAATTAAAAGTTAAACTAGTTCTTATATTAAGGACCTAAGATAGTATAACCTTTTCTGATAAACTATAATATTTATAAACCTATGGCTCAATTTACATCCTATGCATTATAGAGAAAAGCCTGTCTGGCTGAAAGGAAGAACCATATTTTAAGGCCATATGATTCTGCACAATTTATTAATTTGGTTTGTAATTTATTATTACGTTGTTATCATTTGAATTATTCTCGATTTAGTGCTTTTTATTATAATTTAGTCCATAGTTCACTTTTGTGGGTAGAAATGCTTTTTTCACTTTTATTACCATAAATTATACAGTTCAAGGTATTAAATAACATAATCAGTTAGATTAACGAAATTTAACAACTATTTGCAAAGCAAAAATATTAAATAAAAATTCCAGTGGATTGTAATAAGGATTCAGTCAAACCAAATTAAAAATTAAGAAAAAATTAATAGTGATCAACGTATGATATTTTCTTTTAAAAAAAATCCTTAGTTGAATTTCAGCACACTTCCTTAAAACTAAAAACACATATATAGTCATCTATGATGTAAATATAAATCAAAACGAAAGCAAAAAAAAAAAGAAGTCAAATTACTAAACCAAAACTTCATAAAATATTTTTTTTTTAAAAAAAAAGAGCATTCATATCACAACCTTTTCCGATCAGAGATGGGACGATATGGTATGAGCCACCATTGTTAAGCGGGCTGCCTTCGGAGTCAAGCACTGCATCAGCTGCAACAGAAGCAAAATTTGATGAAGTGAAAGCAAAGAGAAGGAAGAGGCTAACCAATAAGGTAACGTTCTTCATTATTATTGATTAATTGAGAGAGACAGGCTTTAGTTTTGCGTGATGTGGTGGTTTGTGAATGGTAAAGGATGATGAAGCCTTATTTATAGATGCACATCAATGCTTGTGAGTGGATGGTACTCGTAGATATGCATTGGATGAAAAATGACAATATTTATCAAAAAGAGATCTCCATTGTGTGGATGTTGTCAAAATTTGGATAGCAAACAAATAAACAAATATGAGATACTTCAAAGCTGAGGTTTGTGTTTCTTATTCTTTTTGTGGCTTATGTTATCATATCAATAGGATTTGAAGTTTATGGTATTAAAACACAATCTAGCTCGACCCATCAAACAAATAAACTGGTCAGTGAATCAATTTTTTAGTCAATCCTGTAGAGCTCTGGCGAATCGATTGGACTGGATTTTGTATTTTTTTCCTCCCTTTGCTGAGGCTAAAATGACATCTTTTTTAGTTTAAAAAAATTAGCAATTTGTCTTGTCTATACTTTGGTAACCTTGTTTTATTATATTGAATTATATGTAGTAACATTAAAGTTTCATTTAGAGTTATATATGAATATTTTTGTATGCTTTAATTGAATTATATTATTTTAGTCATGATTAGGTTGATCTCAGATTAATCACAATTAGACCATTGACATGGAACTACTATCCTGATCCGTTTCAATAACTGGTTTGATTTTCAATACCTAGTTTCAAACTAAATACACCCGACCCTTACCGCTTAAGTTATAGTCTCATGTGGCTTATGTACTATAATCTTTAACCATATGCATTTCTTTATACATTGCATTCTGTGGTTCAAAATATAAGCTACCTTCTTTATACAGATTACGTAGAGAGTTATTAATTTCCATTTTTCAATTTTACCCCATTTATTGGTGATACACATTGAATATAGAGAAAGAGGACAGAGAGGAGACGGATTTAAATTTAAACATAAGCAACGCCGGAAAATTGTTTTAATTTAAGACAGATTTAGTGTGTTAGCTCCTCATAATGAAGTAATTGAAAGTGCTTTATATTTTGGACAGGAGGGAGTACATGAAAATTAAGTGATGATGAGTTGGTTCAATTGGTTATAACACACAAGAATGTGAGTTCAAACCTCACTGCCGATGTGAATACCTTATTAATAGGCAATTTGTAAGTACGTCTATAAGCGTTTTCTGAGCCTGGTTTGCATCCAAAAAAAAAAGATAAAATTATAAAATAATTTTTTTAATTAATTGAAGAAACATATACAATATATTTTTGAAAAACGGGATAAAGATCTATATAATTTCGACCAAAAAAATTTATGTGATTAATTCTAAATCATTATCTCTTGCAAAATTGTTCCTCCACTAATGCTCAAGCTAACGATATCGAAATGGATGTGTCAATTATTATGGTGACAAACAAAAATGGAAGGGAAGAAATAGAAATGTTTCGAAATAATAATTGTCTTTTTATATTTAGGGACCAGTATCGATGTTAGAAGAAACCTATGTTGAACGCGTGTACTAGTGAAACGTGCCGATCTGTTTGTTCTTATGCATAGAACATTTATGGAAGACAACCCCGTTCTTATTCCTGTCCCTGTCGTAGGAATATTGTTCACAGTAGTAACACGTGTCAATGCATTTCCAACATACTTACTCCCATTTTTAATACAAAAACTAGTCAAATATAAAATTTCAATTCACTTTATTCTTTAAATTTATAATTTTTTTAAAAAATATCTTTATTGATTGTAAGGAGTCCATCAAGAGGTAATTCTAATGCACATGATTAGAGGGAATAGTTTAAGAAAATCAAAAATATTTATTATAAATAATTAATTTAATTAATTTTCTTAATATGCTTAAATTGGTTATTCAGCTCCTGTATTAATTACGGGTGGTATTAAACTACAAAGGATGAAAGAAGTCCCATGGCTCAGTCAAATCCTTTTTAAGCTGAGAGAGGGAACATATAACTAATAGTACATATAAACGCCAAAAAAAGATTGGATTTAGCAATAAGAGGCATATCTTTTGAACAAAATTTTAGGATCGGTTGATGAAAAAGAATTCATGGGAAGAACCCCCGCCATTTGGGTCCAACTCAGCTCAGGAGAATAACACTTAAAACTCGTTTGATACAAAATATTAAAAATAAGAAATCAGAATTGAGATTATAATTAAAAAAAATAACTAAAAGATATTTAGCATGAATAATTGTTTGTTATATGAGATTGAGCAAACTCATGAAAGTTGGACCGGAAAACACCACTTTTTTCTATAGTATTTCTCAATTCTACATACACGGATTTGTTTAATACTATGTAACAAGTAATCTTTCATGTTAAACTCTCTTTTAATAGATTTTCTCAATTTTAATCACAATTCCTATCTTCAATCTTAATGTTTCATACCAAACGGGACCTTAGCGTTAAAAGATGAATTTAATATTCAACCAACCAAAAAAAAAAGATGATTTTAACAGTAGTTAGGTAATAAAAAAATTTATAAAAGCTCAGTTGCAAATATTATATTAAACAGTGTTGTAAATACGAGTGTCTGAAATTGTAAATCAATAGGAGTAACCTTTAAAATTATTTAAGTGCTTGCTTTTTTTAATTAAGACTAGTATACTTTCAATTGCCAAAATTCATAATTGTAAATTTTCATTAAAAATTTTTAAGACATAAGTGTTATAAAATCCGTTTTTCAAGACTTAAATGTTACTACCTCCTATCCCTGATATAAGAATTGGTTGAGGGTTAAGTTTGACTCTAAATATAATACTTCAATCCATTTTGTTTCCTCATGTTTGTAATTGTTCTTAAAAATTATTCTTATTGATTGTACATGTTAAGAAAATTTGCATCAAAGGGTAATTGTAATGCAAATAATTTAAAAAGGTATTTTAAAGAAACCAATACATATATTTTTAACAAATGATTAATTTAATTAGTTTTCTTAATAAATTTAAATTAGTTATGTAATATATTAAGTATTAAAGGTAGTACTTATTTGATTGATTATCATAAAAAGCACTCCCTCCTCTTTTATAGCTCCCTCCTCTTTTATATATAAATAACCTTCCAGAAGATATTTTAGCCCCCTTTATTAGTTGCTTTATAAGCTTTTTGGAGAATTAACGTTTTTATCATATATACTTCTCCTATTCTAAATATAAGACCTATTTTATAGTGTAATTTATTATTTTTCTTGATAATACTGGCAAAAAAATATTTTTCTTGGTAAGTGTGATAAAAAATGATATATATGTATATTTAAGATTGGAATGGGTATAATAAATTTAAATATACTAAACACAGCCACAAGACCCATAATCAAATATCTAATGAATAAACTGCCGGGGGAAAAAAAATCTAATGAAGATTCTGATATTTAAGATTTTCTTGCAATGCTCTTTTCAAAAAAAATCACACCTGGTACTGATAATGCCCCGCTACTGCAATCATCGATTAAAGATAAAGGCGCAGAGACGTGACACCGGAAATCCAGAATCCAGATGGAACGCCAGTCTTCGGCCCAAAGGAGAGAAAAAAACAAAAAAGAAAAAGAATGCTGGTCGATAATTGGTGTCGCCGCACATTAATCACTTCGGCGACGATATTTATGTAACGCGTGAGCAAACTATTCGTCCATTAAAGTACATTAATACCAATATAAAATACCGAAAATTCCAATAAATTTTGGGAAGAATTCCCCCAAAAAAAACTCATAGTTGAATTTTCAAAAAAAAGATACTTAGGTTAAGTTTCAAATCACACGTAGCCATATATTTTATTTTTTATGTAAATTTATAATTAAATACTAATATTTTAAAAATATAATTTGAATGTTTTTATATCAAGTTCTTTAATTACTTACTTGGCGTTGAAAATTATCTTTCGGCATCAAAAATCAATTATTGCCGAAGTTTAATATTTTGGGGAGGCTCAAATTCGAATTTAGCACTTAGATTCGAATTTTTTGCCCCCACAAATTCGAATTTTTGCCAGCCTTTCTTAAATTAAAGGTCAAATTCCAATTGTGATAACTCTCAGTTTAAGCTCAAATAAGACAAATGAACTATCATTAGAATGCTCTTTGAATCTAATTTCTAATACATAAGATTTACTTAGAAACTCTTTATATTGTGAAATATATGATCATAACCGTGAGCAAAGGTCAGAAACATTTCGGCATTGACCTCTGATCAATATTCTTACAATGTCTCATAAACTATAAATGCTTTTGAAGTAAAACTTATTTCATATAAAAATAGATTCAATATGATTTTCCATGATATCTATATCAATAAAAAAAATGTTTCTCTATGAAATGGAAATGATTTTCGAAATATGGTGCTTCAATCTGGTGAGAAAGGCGCCTTTCGCCTCTGCTCAATCCAATCTGCTTCAACAGTGTGTTTGTCTTCAAGCAAAAAAGCTTTGACGGCCCAGCGGCCCAGCGGCCCAGCTCTTTTAACAATCTTTTCAGGACCAATTTGGTCTTTTCAACTTGACAACGGGTTTGCTGCGGGCCGTTTAAGGAGGTGTTTGGATAGAAATCAAACCATAGTTTCATAAGTGCTTTTACGGATTACGAAGTAAATATGTGGAGGAGATTATCTCGTTTTGTGGAAAAGTACTTCTGAAACCACGGTTTTGAGACACCCAAACAGGCCCTAAAATTAGGTCTCACCAATTACTTTTAAAGTTTAAACTTTAAAGTGGGGGAGTGGAGACCTCGCTACGGAGGGCGGAGCTCACGTGTTACAAGGCATTATGAGAGGGGGTGGAATTTATTACATTATCAATATAAGACACAGATGATTAATTTAGAAATATTAAAAAAAACTAAATAAATTACTTTAAGGGAAAAAGACAGTAAAATACCCTCAAAATTACTAAATGACAAATTAGTATAGGTAAATTTCAAAATCTCAATTCAGGCCCTAGATACTATTTTGGAATTTTCAAATCTTGTAAAATGACAACATTGTCTTTACTGTTGGTGACTACTTCCATATATCTATTGACTATTCTATTTTAATTATTGACTACTTTTGTTTTCAAAGTTCCGGTGACTATTTTTATATAGCTATTGACTACATAAGAGTAGTAAATCGCATTACTAGAGTAGTCAGTAGCTTAACAAGAGTAGTTATCAGAGTTTAAAAGTAAATGTAGTTAATAGTTAAAAAGAGTAGTCAATTCATAAAAAGAGTAGTCACCGGAGTTCGGTAACATGTCATCGGAGTTTTAAAATAAATGTAGTCAATAGCTAAAAAAGAATAGTCAATACATAAGAAAGAGTAGTCACTAGAGCTTAGGTGGTTGGTCGCCGGTAGGGTTATCGACGTCGGAGCTCTGACGCCCGAAATTGCTGAGGTGGCAGTATTTAAAAAAAAAATAGGTAAAAAAATAGTAAAGGACATTTATGTAATTTTACAAGATTTAAAAATTCCAAAAAAATACCTGGGGTCTGAATTGGGATTTTGAAATTCAGATACCCTCATTTATCACTTAATATTTTTGAGGGTGTCTTTTTCCCTTCCTTTAAAATATTTATATTTATTGTATTTTTTTAAATTAATTTACCTGACTTGTAAATCGATACATAATTTAATGATACTTATAAATATTTTAGAAAGATAATGTAATATATACTATAATTAAGTAATTTATTTAGTTTTATTAATCTTTTCAAATCAGTCAATTGGGTCATGTATTAAAGACCAGATATTTATGATGATAGTATTGAAACTCCTAATGAGTTTTTAAAAGCTAAGAATTACTTAAAGAAAGAATTTTGAAATGAAAGCTTTGGGAAGAATAAATATAGATAAGTCACATCCATTATGTGGAAATTAAGCCGGACCTATTATGTGCTCCGATAGCTGTAAGATCTTGAAATGTAGACTAAAGATCCATTTAGACATCTTGAAACTGATAAATAAATATTCAATCTAGAAGTACCATATTTTAGTATCATTGGAGCACATATATATCTATCTAACCACATAAAACCTGATATATCATTTGCTAATTAACATGATATAGTTCTTTATCAACATGAAGATGTTAAAATGAAGTTAAAAAAATATTCTTCGTTACTTTAAGGGTATTGTGGAGGTTATATTATTTTATTTGAAGGTACCCAAGACTAATCTTACTAGCTATATAGATAAAGTATTTTTGTTTGATCATCATGTTGAGAGATCATAGTATGATCTGCGTGTAGATGAACCATAAAAGAACTATTTGTCTCATAATTTTTAGAAAATTATAAAATTCATATTTGACGTTTTTATTTTACTACAATATTTGGAGGGCTTGTTCGTTATATTAGACTTTGCAGACTCAAAGATGTCAATTGATGTTGCCAAGAAGGGACGTTGATAGACGCTGTACTCTTTTTCCGTTGTCTATGATTTTGTGCTAATGGGTTTTCTTGGCAATGTTTTTAATGAGGCAGTATTGCATGGTATATCAATAAATAATATACTCTTTTTCTTTTACTAGGTTTTTCTCCCATACAGTTTTTTCTAGTCGAAGTTTTTTAATGAGGCACATTCATCTATATTGGACATCCAAGAGAGAGTGTTATAAATATAATAATATTTTTGTGAATGTCTATATATCTCTCATTATCTCCTATATCTCCTATAATTTCTAATATCTCTCATTATCTCTATATCTCACAATTGTCTCACATTATTATGTAATATGTAGATTCTATTAAAAATGTAAAGCTGTACTTATAAATACAGGCCATATATAATATATTGAGCACTCTTAAATGGAATAAGAAATATTCTATCTTGGTGATCCTTTTTTCTTCTCTATTTCTTCTCTATTTATAACATCTGCCAATTTGTTTTTAGTCTAGTGTTTTTAAAAATAAAAGAAAACAAAAATCTGTTTTTAAAAACTAATAAACCAAACCAACCTTTTACTATTTTTTTCTTATTGTTTCAGTATTTATTATTTTTTGTTTGAGAAAAATTGGAAACTTTTTCATCTTTATTTAATGGCTATTTTTTCATTTGAGGATTTAAGTTATCATCGAAACTTCACTCTCTGATCTTAGTATGTTTATTCTCAAATTTAATTTTTAAAATAATTATCCAAACAGACTTTTTGCTTTTTTGTTTCCAAAACCTGTTTTCAAAAATAATTTTATAAAATTGTTCTAAGAATGAAAAAACAAAAAATAGAAACAAAGAGGCCCATATAATTTCTTAATTTCTCCATTTGTTTTTCATTTTGGCTTTTCTTGGAGCACGTGATCAAGCTAGCATGGAACATTGTTTGGGGGTGCAACTTATTCATGATGCCTCCTAAATTCAAGATCTAGATATTTGTGTGCTATTTGCTTATTTTGGATCATGTTTGGGTCTGTTTCTAATGTTTTTAGTAAGTATATGTACAGTTTTAATTAATTGGCAAAAATTTGTCTAAAAACTAAGCATACACATGATATCTTTCTTTAGGAGAAAACTGAAATAAGAAGACATCATTAGTATAATTGGATTAACTTATTTTAAGTGATTTTACGTCATACAAGATAAATATGTGAGAAAAGTTTTAACTCTTAACTTTTTTTTAAGTGCTTAACAAAAATTCTTTTACATTTTACAGGAAAAATATCATCTTACATATTTATCTCATATAACATAAAATTACTTATAAAAAAATGCTAATCCAAGCACACAAGCATTGAGACTGAGGAATCTGACCCTAATAAATACGAATCTAAGCATAAGTCACTGAATCTGATCCTACTGAGAAAGTGTCTGGCCCCGCATTATGGCCCCGGTGAGAAAATATACTGAAGTACAAAAGAGGTTAAAGATGATCAAATTTTGTTGAGATACAAATCACATTTCCGGTTTAAAATTGATAACTTGAATGTGCTGGAAGGCGAAAAAAAAAAAAAAAGAGTGATAGCCCATGACCCATTGTTTTATTCAACCATGCAAGCTTTTTTTTTCCCTCTATCATTATGTGGAACTTTTGTCTATCATGAGGATGCAAAATTATATCTCTCCTTGTAACCAATGATAGGATGGAGGAGGATTTAAACGTAAGAGTAAAATAGATTAACTGTCACGCCTCGAAAATTTGGGTGTGACCAGCTCAAAATATAAGAAACCCACATAGCTTAAGCATCAAATACACAGAATTTTTCACACACACACACACACACACAGACATATTTACAATATCAAATATAAATTCTTCGGATATATTTCATATAACAAAGGTGACACTTTCCCTCTTTCTACAAGCAAATCTCGTAAACGATAATTTCTCGGAACCCATAAAAATAAGAATTAGAGAGATTAGAAGTCTGATTATGAATGGCAGCTGAAGTGACTCGAAGAAGTACGCAAGACAAGTTAAGGCAACTGAGCGAAAAAGGACTATTCTGTTGTCCCAATTTCTAGGCATTTTGTAAAAGATAAAATGAACTTCGTACGATACTTCATTTCTACCAAACATCTTTAATTAACTCGTACCCACGCACACACTTAACACACAACATGACATTATATACATTGCGATGCAGACGGGAAACAGGAAGGCCACATGAAGCATATATAATTTTATTTAAACTTAAAGAAGTGCAAGGAGTTATCTAAACTACTTGCACTCACTATAAAAAATTCGACTTTCAGCGGCCACAAATATTGCCACTGAAAGTCCAAAAGTCGCCGCTGAAAAGCTTCAGCGGCGACACTTTGTCGCCACCAAGTCGTTGCCGTAGCGACCGTGGCTGAAACTTATCAACGGCGACATTTTGTCGCCGCTAAAAGCTGATGAGTTTGCCACTCAGAAACGTCGCCACTGAAACATGAGAATCAGCAGCGACTAATGTCGCCGCGGAAGCTTGCTTCGGCGGCGACATTGTGGTTGCCGCTGAAGCTTGATTCGGCAGCGACATATGTCGCCGCTGATTGTCATTTTAATTATTTTTATAATATATTAATTATGCAAAAAATTTATTTATATTGCTGATAAATATTATTAAAAGGTTTAATAAAAATAAAGTAATTAACACACAAATATAGTATATTAAATAATAAGATTTATAACCATCAAAGTGTTCTTTATGTCTCTAACTAAAAAAAAAATTGTTCAATTAAAAGATACATTACATAATACAAAAGAAAAATTACGTAAAGGGATCAATACTAGGGACGCTAGAAGTAGGGGTATCTGCAGGAGCATTTAACTGCATCTTTTGCATGAAAGCAGTGAACTGAGCTTGTATTCTCTGTTCCATCAATTGCTCCATCCTTTGTTCAAGTTGCGTACGCTCTGCTTCCATCTTTGCTCGCTCTGCAGCACGTTCTGCTTCCATCTTTTCTCGCTCTGCTGCACGTTCTGCTTCCATTCTCTCTCGCTCTGCAGCAAGATTTGCTTCCATCTTTTCTCGCTCCTCTTGAAATCTTCTTTCAAACTCTTCATACAATTGGGTGCGTACGTTCTCAAGTGAATCACTAGATTGAGTGTGAAGTCTCTTCCTCCGAGGCTCTGCTCCATAACCTTTTCCTCTAACATATCCTGACCTCTCACCAAGAACAGCTGTCAATATCTCATCAGAGGTCATTCGAGCATCACTCTCTAAGGATTGCTGCTGAACGAGCTCATGCATGCGATCCTATAGTTACAAATTACAAATTACATTAATGAAAAAAATATAATTATTTAATTAAATATAAAGGACAAATATTATGTATACATGAATCTCTTCAGATCGCGGATCCACCCACTCTAACTGGCCATCTGCAGTCTTCCTAGTATGTGTTATCTCCCAAACCTGATCTGGGGGGGCAGGCTGTCCAGTGGTGGGGTCTCTCTATAAAGCATAATATACAAAAATAACAAATCTTGAAAAATAAAAAAATGGATAAAAAAATAAAGTGTAGTGAAGAGGCAACTTACTACAGAGAACTCAACCTCCGCAAATGATCGGGGACCACATGTATGCTTTGTTACTTGTTTTGCTCGGTTTTGTGTGTTTCTAGCACTTTTGTTCTACATCAAATTTGAGTAACTACTAAGTATGTTGAATGATATAATTATATTATTCATTTAAATAGTTAGTATTTAGTAAGATACCTTAAATGGATCTGACTGAAAATATGTCAATAACCACTCCCAATCTTCAAAACTTACAGTTTGAGGTGGATTTGCCAACCTTTCTTCATCAGTGTCAAATTTCTTATAGTGGGTATGCAAGTTGGTCTTCCAATTTCTGAAAGCATTTTGCAATGTGGTCACTATCATTTTTTGGAACTTCTCTTCATCTGTTGCAACAGCAGGTTGAAATTTTTCCTAAAATAAAAATCAATATCAGCATAAGTACTTGTTTTGAAAGCATAAATAAACTAGGATATACATTTACTAAACATAAATTGTACCTTCACTTTTAAAATCATAACATCAATATAATTTGTGTAAACATTCTTCCATTCAGCACAATCCTTCAAAGATATTGTGGTTCTAATAACATAACCACAATAATTAGCTAGCTCTCTTGCTCCTTGCCCTACTGCTCTTGTCATGTCATCTGTGAAAGTAAGCTCAATCTTTCCTCCAAATTTAGTCATTAAGTCCACATTGAGCGACTTATAAACTCCTCTACCTTTCTTAATTATATTAGAAGAGCCTATCATTCAAGTGAACAAATAATATAGTCAAAAGTATGTGATGCTAATTAGTTACTTGTATTATATAAAAGTAAAGAAAATTTACCTGCACTACTGTTTTGAGTAGGGGGAGAGTCGGCAGGCAATTCCTCAAATTGTACTTGGAGTGGTCGAGGTGAAATGGTATGTCTAATTGCAGGGGTAGAGCTAATACCTCCACTACTTGTGCTGCCATGTCGTGTGAAGGAAGAGCTTCTCCCACCCCGTCCTCTCTTTAGCCCTGACATATCCTGCAATAATGTACAAAATTTAGATTGTTTTTTATGTTAATAAAACTACTCTTTATGAAGATAGTATATATTAAAAAAAATTACAAAATCTAACTTGTTAAGAATATATTAATAAAAACTACCATTTATAAGGATTGTAGTTTCATTCTGTTGAGTCCTCTGTGGTACTATCACTTGTATCATCATCTTCTATTTCACCTTCAATGTCACTTTCTTCTTCAGTATCACTATCATTACCATCAAGCACATCTTCTTCATCACTATCGTCATGAACTAGTGAATTAGATTCACTATCATCAATAAATCCAGTCTCCATATTACTTCTTTGTGATGGTTCTCCTACTTGAATGAAAGTTTGGGGTTGTACATCATCTCCACACAAGTCAATAAAGATATCATGCTGTATAAGACTTGCATTTAAATCAACTACCAATTGTTGATAAGGCTCTTCATCAACCATTGCAATATTAATATCACTACCAACATTAACATTCTCAATCGGCATATTGAACAAGTCACGTGGATTCGTTTTGACAACAACAATCCAACCCGGGTCAACAATATCATCCACATAAAAAACTTGCTCTGCTTGAGATGCTAAAATAAATGGTTCATTAGTTTGTAATGAACATTGAGTGTTGATACTTGTGAACCCATACTTATCCACCTTATATCCTTCGCCATAGTTAGCGACATCCCACCAGTGACACTTAAACAAGTATAATTTTTTATTCTCTATGTAAGATAACTCATAAATATGCTCTAACACACCATAATATTCTTTATTAGCATCAGTGTCATCACCCTTGGCCATGACTCCATCATTTTGAGTTCTTTTTCCTATTGCCCGATCTTTTGCATGAAAACGAAATCCATTGCCTATAAACATAGAGTAACGATTGACCACTCTCGATGGACCAATTGATAAACTTTTGAGTTCAGGACTTACAAAGCCTTGTGTGGACAATGCTATCACCTATTAAAGAAGAACCATTCCTTCAATATGCATTAATATTATTAATATAAACTTCAAAGCTCAAAGTCTAGAACTTACTCGTGAACGGAACCAATCAGGAAACTCTTTATATTGCTTTTGCTCACTCATTAATCCCCGAGCTTCAAGTTCTCTCCTGTGTTCCCTACATGTTTTTACACAAGTGAGAAAAATATAAATTATAACAAATTCATTCTTGTTAAATTAAGTTGACGTACTCTATGAATGGCCAAGTTTCTTCACAATTTTGGAGCACATACATTCTTGCTTGACAATACTCTTCATAAGAAAGAGAGACTGACTCAAAATGTCCTCTAGCTTCACCACTTTTCTTGAACACCGAAAGCTCATTACTGATATTATTATCACTGATGTCATCATTCCGATGCTGCACATTAAATTTAGTAGGAATGTCTTTCAAGTATCGTGAACAAAAAGTTAGACTTTCATCTGCCAAATATCCTTCTGCAATTGATCCTTTAGGTTGGGCCTTATTGCCAACATATGACTTTAGAGTTCGCAAATACCTACAACAAAAAGTCAAGCCTTATTGAATGGTTTTAAATGATAGATTATAAATATAATTGTAAAGTAACCTTGTTAAAGCGAATTACCTTTCTATGGGGTACATCCAACGATACTGAACTGGCCCACCAACTTTTGCCTCTCCCGCCAAGTGTATAGGCAAGTGAACCATTACGTCAAAAAAGGCAGGTGGGAATATGGTCTCTAACTTGTACAAAGTTATTTCTATTTGACTTTGAAGTTTGTCAAGTTCTTCACATGTTAAACACTTTGAACAAAGATTTTTAAAAAATCTTCCCAATTGTATTATTGGTTCACATACTTGGGGAGGCAGTAACCCACGTATTGCAATTGGAAATATTTCCTGCAATAGCACATGGTGATCATGACACTTCAAACCAAATATTTTTCGCTCGTGAATGTTGACACACCTTGAGATATTAGATGCAAAAGCATCAGGTACTTTTAAGTTAGCCAAGAATTTGCAAAGGGATTGTTTCTTTTCAGAGGATAATGTGTAAGGAGCAGGAGGCTTATAAACATCATTACCATTCTTAATCGGGTGCAAATTACTCCTAATGCCCAAATCCACCAAATCATACCTACTTTTTAATGTGTCCTTTGTCTTTCCAAGTAAATCCATCACTGTCGATACAAGATTATCAGAAACATTTCTTTCTATATGCATCACATCAAGATTATGTCGTATCAACAAATTTTTCCAATAAGGCAATTGGAAAAAAATGCTTCTTTTCCTCCAATTATAAGCCTTACTATCTGTAGGGCGTTTTCGTGTTTGGCCTTTTCCAAATGATATATTACCCAATTGTTCTAATTGCATAAGTGCATCATCTCCAGTTAATGGAATTGGTGGAGCTCTGAGTTCTTCTTTTCCATCAAATGATTTTGCATCTTTGCGCCATGGGTATTTTGTGGAAGAAAACGCCTATGACCCATATAAGATAACTTGCTCCTTAATGAAATGCAATGCGTGTCTTTGTGACAACAAGGGCATGCAAACTTGCCTTTAGTTGACCATCCTGAAAGATTTCCATATGCGGGAAAATCATTTATCGTCCATACATCATAAAATTTGATTGAGAAAATGCATCATATGTTTGCACCCCTACTTCCCACAATTGTTTTAGCTCCTCAATCATTGGTTGTAAGTAAACATCTATTTCATTACCTGGACACTTTGGACCAGGAATAAGAAGTGTCATCATAAAATATGGGCTTTTCATGCAAAGCTATGGTGGCAAATTATATGGTACCAAAACTACAGGCCAAATGCTATGATTGGCACTCATATTCCCAAAAGGTTGAAATCCATCACTTGCCAAACCTAATCTAACACTTCTTGGATCAGTAGAAAAGCTAGGATATTGTTGGTCAAAGTGTTGCCAAGCAAGAGAGTCAGCTGGATGTCTCAATACACCATCATTTGTGTGCTTCTCCTTATGCCACCTCATTTCTTTAGCAGTGTCTCTTGCCATATAAAGCCTTTGTAACCTAGGTATTATCGGAAAATGCCTTAAGACTTTCTGGGCAATTTTTTTTCCTCTTTGCCTGTTCAACTTCCATCTAGACATCTTGCACTTAGGACATGATTCTTCATTTGCATGTTCCCCCCAGTATAATATGCAATCATTTCCACAAGCATCAATTTTATTGTAATCTAAACCCAAATCACGAATTATCTTCTTAGCTTCATAAAATGAGTTTGGCACTAAAGCCCCTTCTGGAAGAACATCTTTCAATAGGGCCAACAATGCATCCATAGATTTATTGCTCCAATGGTTAAGACACTTTAATTGAAGCAATTTTACAATAAAAGACAATTTTGACATCTTCTCACAACCTGGATAAAGTTCTGTCTCTGCATCCTTTAATAAGTCGTAGAACCTTTTGGCATGCACATTAGGCTCTTCATTCTCATTTAATTCATTGTTCATATCATTCATAGAAGGAACATTATATGCATCACATACCATCCTTGTAAGGTTCTCCCCATAAGTATCATGTTCTGCTGCTGTACTTGAAGTCTCACAATCACTTTGACATCTAATAATTTCCCCATGCAAGTCCCACACCTTATAACTATCCCAAAAACCCTTACTCAATAAGTCAACCCTGACATCTCTTCTCGCTTTGAATATGACATTCATACATTTTTTACAAGGACATCGTATTTTGCTTGTCACTCCATTCTGAGTAAAAGCCCATTCGAGAAAACCATCTACTCCTTTAATATATCTTAGGTTGCCTCTGTCTTTAATATCTAACCAACTTTTATCCATTTCTATTTCACAAAAGTTGAAGATTAATGTAAGAAAAGGAAAAACAATAAATATTAAAGTGCAAGAAATAAATAGAAATGAATAAGGTTGAGTTGACCAAGAAAAGAAAATTATATATGATATATATATATGTATCTTACTTCTAAAAAGCTGATTCATTTCAACGTAGTATATAAGCCAAACTAACAAAGCATCACAAAGTCAACGCAAACGCAAGGTGAAGATGATAAACTGTTAACTTACAAGTGACAAGAGCTTTACTACTCGCCCTAGCTAGTGATCCTTTTTGCTTGCACTATTAAGAGATCTCGTAATAATCACACGTACAAGCTAAGTCTTATCATCTTCTGTTGTAATATCCCCCTCCAAAACAGTTTTTTGCAACGTACAAAGCTGCTTAACTATTTGTTTCTTGCAGGCTGTCAAATTAGAATGGATGAAGATCATTATATATATCATAATAAAAAGCATCTATAAACAACAGTACTCAGGTTTTGCTAATCACTTATGATAATTTAAAATTTCCCAGTCTTCTCCCGAGTAATCAAGTTTCCCATCTTGAACAGCAAAAGCAATCCGCCTATAAGATATTGGAAACCAAACATAAAACAATATACTAGTCTCTATATATATGTGTGTATATATATAATATAATACTTCTCATGCAAGTTTTGCTAATCCTACAAGGTCCAAATATACAACTTTTTGTTAACATGCATATAATTAACGTAACAGTATTAATAAACTTCCAATTTACTCCATCAATAATTAACACTTTCATCACAATTTTATTGAAAACTGTAAAATGATACATAAAAAAGATTTCAACATAAGAAGCTTCTGTACTACTCTTCTTCTTCTTCATCTTCTTCGAAGCTGTCATTGATGAGATAGTTAATCACAAGTCACTTCACACAAAGGTCCTTCCCTTCTTTTACTAACTTAGCCACAATCTCTGTTTCTCTATTTATATCAAGTCCTTATCAACATGGGGCTCCCACTATTTTGCATTTTCTTTGGAATATCTGAACTTCATTCTTTTTTATGGAAAAGTGGCAATTGGCAGGGCTCTCATACGAACCAATCATGATTAACAGCATCAAATAGAGAAGGAAATTAGAAAACAACAATAACAAGTTGATTTTAATTTATAATAAATCATGTTATATAATAAGATTTTCTCCCACTCAGTTTCCTGAATGAATGAAACTGAATCATTCACCACCCTCCATCTAAAAGTCAGTGGAATTATTCAAAATCCCCGAAACAATTCAGCACCCATCCATCACCTATGTCGCAACGAGGTTCCCACAATTCCAAATTCACTCAGTTGAACCACATTCCCAGCAGGTGTCCAATCACACAGAACTCACATCACCCCAAATACATTCATTCTCAAAGATCCAAGGTAAACAACCCAAAAGAGCAAAGCCCAATTACCGGATCAGAGTGAGAGGATTCCAGAGGCCAATATTGCCATCGACCAGGCCACCAGCAACGAGCCCAAGGGAGAAACCTTCAGAGGCAGAACTACTCTTTCCCTATGACAGACGATTGAACCGCTCAGAGCTCGTGCACTCCGCGACCAAGGGCAGTTCCCGATCGTCTGACTTGGTTTGTTGACATGAAGGATGTATGTCTGAGATATCAAGTAACTTGGACACCTGATTTGCATGCAAACAGTTCTTGCGCGAAGCCTTGTAAACCTGGAAAATACAAGTCCACATAATAATTATTAATTAACACGGTAACCTTGAAAGGGAGAGTATATATGTACAAATAAAACAATTACGGAGACACCCACGGGAAGTACTATATGGTTTTCATGTGGGTGATTATTGGTTGCTTTAGGGCAAAATTTGCAGTATAATTGCAAGCAGGTAACGCAGAAATTGGGGAAGAATTTGTTGGTTTGATTGCAGCCAGAAGAATGTTGCAATGGATCTTTGTTCTTGCAAGCCTCCAACAACGATTTCACCCAACGAGGATCCACTCGCTTCTCGCAACCTTCTGTGTTCAGCTGTGAAATTTAATGCCGGAGGAAAAAAAATTGGATCTCAAAATACAGAACAAGAAAGGGGGGAAAAATTACAGCACTACAAGACTTCAAGCGAAGAAGAAGATCAGCGCACTTACATGGATGACAGCAAGAAAGAACACTGGAAGTGATGGACTAAGCACAGATGGACGCTGGAATAAGTTAGATGCTTGAAACTTCTCTGCGTGCGTGGCGCTGGTCTGGTGAGAGCGGGGGAAAAGTAAACTTTTAGAAGATTAGGGCGGGTTAAATTGTTTTGGGTTTCAAAATAAGAAACTTTAGATACAAAAACAATGCGCCAGCCTTGCCAATAACACACGTGGCTTCAGTGGCAGGGGGAGTGTTAGCTATTATAATTACCAGGTCCCTGTTTGAACCAGCCAGGTAACATTAAATGTGTTTTTTAACCTTTTTGAGCTAAAATTAATGTGTAAAAATTGGGCATTTTCCAGATTCGAACACAGGACCTCTACACTGAAACGAACAAGCGTGGCCAGCCAGGCTAATGAATTTAATTGAAACCATTGAGCAATAGAAAATATATATAATATGCAACTGTATATGTTTTACAAAATTTAATTAATCACATTTTAAATTAAAAAATATAAATAGTAATAATATTTAATTAACTATATACATGATTTTATTATCTATATCTCTCCACATTTTTAATTAATTATATTATCTCCTTTAATGATTTTATTTCTCAATCCTCTCATACATATGTTCATCATCAAATATTATTATGTCAATTAAGTATGCTCACACTAATTTAATTATAATAATCTCTCACATATATTTAATTATGTTATCTCTTTCAATTATAATATCCTTCTCTCTCTCACACATACAGACTATCTCTCTTCCAATAATATTTACATCTACCTCTCACCTCTCACCTCTCACCTCTCACCCTCTCACCCTCTCACACACACACTCTATATTTCATTACTTATCCCATCAAACTTGCATACTTTTTCATGCATGCCTCCATCTCATTTCTCTACCATGCATAATGTTTTTCTATTCCATCTCTCAAACATTTGGATATGGGATATGTGTGTTAAACACACACTCCAAACTTTCTTCCTCTTCCTTTCTCTCTCAAACACCATATTATCTTTCTTTTAGTCTCTCTCTAACACAAAATACATAAAAAAACATTAATTATCAAAGTTACTTAATTACGCAAATAAAAGATTATAATATAAAATTTTTACAAAAAAAAGATTAAAAAAATGTGAAAAAACTTTCAGCGGCGACAGGAAGAGTCGCCGCTGAAAGTGACATTCAGCGGCGATAGGAAGCATCGCCGCTGAAAGAAGAACTGTCGCCGCTAAAACCACATTCAGCGGTGACTTGAATTGTCGCCGCCGTAGTGCACACTTTCGGCGGCGACAAATTTTGTCGACGCTGAAAGTTGCAGCTACAGCGGCGACAATAATAAGTCGCCACCCTAACTCTCACTTTTGGCGGCAACATACTTGTCGTCGCAGAAAGGCCGACTTTCAGCGGCGACAATCTGAAAGTCATATTTTCAGCGGCGACTCCCTTTGTCGCCGCTGAAAGTGGTCGCTGAAAGTCCAGATTTTTGTAGTGACTTACATTCGGCGGTGGCTTCAACACTGCAATAGGCTTTTCACTCAGCAGATGATTCAGCTTTGCCAAACACAACCATGAAAGGGTTATTATGACTTATTGCCAAAAGCCTGTTTCCCTTATCATCGTAAGAAATCCCAACATCTCCATAACTATTTCCAACTGTGGGACAGAACTCAATCTTATAGATCCAAACCCCTTTCTTCATCCAAAATCCATTAAGTGCTTGAACTTTAAACCAACCACTTACTGCGTTTCCATACCCAGCGAGTTTCACCTTCGCTGTCGCATCGTCTTCACTCACAACCGTCAACTTCGCCGGAGTGTCTGCGCAACTAGGTGGCGCAACCACGGTGAGGTCCAAGATATAGTTTGTTTCGAGCTCAGCGATTTTGTGGGGAGAAGAAATTCTGATAGGCGAACCATTGAAGAGTTCAGATGAAGTTTGAACAACGCTAAGAGGACAGGTTTCGTTGCTTGTGGAGGCTATGTCAACGCCACCACCTGGTCCCCAGATAGCAGGGAGGATATATTAAGAGCCTCCATTTATAATGTTGTTGCCATCAGTGTCAACAAAAGCTGGTCTGGCCGAAACTAAGGCAAAGAAGAAGAGGAAGAGGGCAAACAAGGTAGTCTTCATTGTTATATTGCTTGGTAGTGGTGAGGAAACGAGAAGATGAGGGCTTCTATTTATAGAACTCATTCAATCCTGATGAGTGGCATTTTAGGTATTCAATAATGGTGCAATAATTGTAAGAAAATAATATAAAATTATGTGTTAGTAATAATCATACGAGAATAACATAATTGTCATGATGAAGAGGAGAATTAATTAAGAAATAGTATAGTATAAATGTTAGGTCCTCGGCAGAAGATGACATGTATAATAATAACTGAGATTATTTGCCATAGTGCTTTTCCTTTAATTTTATTATTGACATATTTTGTAATATCCTCACATGAATGGCTGTGTGTCAAAGAAGTCTAGAGCAGCATTCCTCAACTATGAGGATATTGACTTGGGAATTAATCAATGGAGAATTAGTGTGAGGTACAAAGAAGGAAGATAATTATTAATAAGCCCTAATGATAAGTGAGCAATTGAAACCTGTCATCATTTTCTATTCAGTTGTTATGAAACTTTTTATGAATATATTTTTTCTTTGAGACCTTATTGTGATTCTCCCATCAATCAACCACAACGGTTAAAAGCTGGATTGCTACCATGCAAGGAGGTTGAGTTTATGTACTTCAATGACAATTACCAGTTCCACACGTTGGTTCAAATAAATTAAGGCCAAAGTTGATCCTTTCAATTTATTTCGAAAAGGAACAAAGCATTCATGTATTTATTTTATTTATAAATTACTTTCAGCATATCCTATCCTATCAGAATCAACGAAAATCTTAAAGATAAGTGTTCATAATAAATATGCATTTTAATAACTAACAATAGCAAAATAACAAGTGTTTATATTCACTACAAAAAAAATTGATTTCCAACAGCAACAAAATGTCGCTGCTAAAAAGTCATTGGCTTAGCAGCCACTGCTAAAAGACGATTTCAATGGTGACTTTTGTAAGTTTGAACAATGACATTTGTCACCGCTAAAAGGTGCTTTTGGCGGTCACATTTTTATCACTGCTAAAAAGCATTTTCAATGGCAACAAACTGTCACAGCCAAAAGTTACCGCTGAAAGTGATGCTGGAGAAAAACTGGCTTTATCGGCACCACGCCATCACTAGTCAAATCCCACATTGTTACCACATCACCACTCACTGCCACGTTACCGTTGAAATATTTTCAGCTTAAATGTATCTTCTTCAAGGTTCAAACTTGTCATCCCTTCATTCATGTCCAATCTTCTTGCCGTTGAGTTGGACTAGATTTGCTAATTGTTATTGTAAAATAAAATATATATTATCATATTATACTTTTAGCAGCAACATTAGAAAGTCACAGCTAAAAGTTTGAGGCTGAATGAAGAACCCAAAGAGTTTTAGCGGTAACACTAATGGTCGCAACTAAAAGTCAACTTTCAACAACAATCCTAGAAAGTTGCTGCTGAAAGTGAGTCCTTCAGTGGTGATAGAATATGTTGCCACTAAAGGTCTCACATTCAAAAGCGACTTTTTGTGCCACTGCTAAAAGATGTACTTTCAGGGGCAACTTTTTTGTCACCACTGACGATTTTCAATTGCAACAAATAAAGTCACTACATAAAGTCAACTTTTAGCGGTGACTTTCTAGTGTTGCTATTGAAAGTTGACTTTTAACAGTGACTTTTTTTGTAACATCTGAAAGTTGTCGCCGAAAGCCTTTTATTAAATAGTGATTTCATAGGTGAATTTATAAGTGCACATATGCATTGTATAACAACTAACAATAACAAATATCCATATGAAAAATTACAAATCTAATTTATACTCTGATGCAAAAATTTATAATTATTTATATATTAATTTACAAGTGCACATACGTGTATTTTAACATGTGAACCTGACTGAAGCTTTTATTAGTGATAGTGGTCTTTCCATTCCATGTTTCTTGCTCGCAAAAGCAGTGATTGGGAGTTTTTTTTTCCCCCCAAAATCAAACAGTTGTGGTTCATATAATAATGAAGGGCCGTGAAATAGGAAAACCCAGGACGTTTTATGTTAATTAGAAAGAAATTTTCACGAAGAATAAAAAAATTCCTTGCTCTATCCTATCCTGAATATAATAACTAAATCATGTAAATCAATTATTAAAATTAATTAAAGGCAAACAAATATGTAAGAAATATGTTTTTTGATACCCTTATTTATGAGAGTGAGTGAAAAAGTAAATGAGAAAAATAAAAGGAGGATTATAATCAGGTTCCAAAGAACATATTTAATTGCCTTTTGACGAGTGATGGAAGAGTCCAGAGTAGGGAATAATAATAGGTTTACTTGTCATTAGAACTTTCTGATAATTAAATTCTTTCTTGGGACCTCTTTATAATTCTCTATAAAGAGAATACGAAAAAATAGATGTAATCTCATACTTAAAAAATTATTACTTATATAAAAGATAGCATGCAGGATAGTAATATAACTTAAAGGTTACACCCAATATAGATGAGTATTGTTTGTTTGGAGCTTATGTAAACTGAAATAAAACCCCCCATACGTATTTTATATTTCATGAATTATGATTAAAAGTATGACTACAGTTAAGGAAGATATCACCTTCATCGTAGCTTTTTGTTTAATTACTAATGTAGATTAGGATAGGAGTAATAAATATTTTATCAAGTACGTATGTGAGAATTAATAGGATAAATAAATTAATCTGCTCTCACTGATATGCATGTTTCAAGTTATACCTCGCGGTCCCTTCGATCTCTGATGAAATTGAAAGGATGCCGAGTTACATCTAGTGAATTTGTAACTTCTACGTACTGGCCAGCAGGTCCGTACAATAATTTATGATGACACATTGTGAAAATATCGATGCTAGAAAAATAAATCATAAAAATTTATAAAGTTAGATTAGATCCATCACGAGGAATTATTTTTCTAAACACACTGAAACATCCAAACTAATTTTGATACATTTAACATCCTAAAATAT